TTGTTTACCCGTATTATCCACCAAACTAGTAAAATCCTGTTAGTTTATGGCTTGCAATGCAAAAATAAACTTCCAACCCCCTCTGTGAAATAATAATAATAATTTTTTTTTTTGAGATAGAGTCTTGCTCTGTTGCCCAGGCTGGAGTGCAGTGATGTGATCTCGGCTCACTGCAACCTCCGCCTCCTGGGTTCAAGCAGTTCTCCTGCCTCAGCCTCCTGAGTAGCTGGGACTACAGGCACGCGTCACTACATCCAGCTAATTCTTGTATTGTTAGTAGAGACAGGGTTTCACCATGTTAGTCAGGATGGTCTCGATATCTTGACCGTGTGATTGCCCGCCTCCGCCTCCCAAAGTGCTGGGATTACAGGCATGAGCCACCGTGCCTGGCAGAAATAATTATTCTTTATGTAAGTCTGTCACTTCATAAAAGCAAAAGCTTAGTGTGAATCCTTTTATGGCCAGACAGTGACTCTCACTGTATATATTCACAGCCACAGAGTGGAAACAAACACCTACGGCAGACTGAAGAACAGAAGGGAAGGATAAGGGAGACCTGCCTGGTTTTCCCACCTGCAGAAGAATGACTCACCTGCAGAGGCCACGGTACACCTGTGATGCAGGGACGGGAAGAGTTTGCATGGAGGACCTGACATTCAGTGTATGTTACTGATGCATCCAAGTGTAGTCCAGGTCACTGTAGCGGGAGGGGGATGAAGTTGCTTCATTCAGTGCCAAGCACCATGCAGAGGGCCTTCAGTTTATGATACTCTATAACCCTGAATGACTCTGAGAGTCAGAGATGACATTAAAGCTATTTTACAGACAATAAAGCTATTTTACAGACAAAGAAATGAAGGAGACAGATCACTGAGTAAGTTGCTCAAGGTCCCATAGCTGGTGATACGGTGGAGCCAGCATTTGGGGCCAGGCAACCCGAACGATATGTTGTTAACAGTCCACACGGCCTCCTACCCAGAGAAAGCAAATCTTACAAACCATGGAGTGCACAGTGTCATGTTTTTATATTTCTATATCTATTGCTGTGTCCCTGCATCTATCCATCAGTAATGATTTAAGAGGAGGTAGAAAGGTGCAAGAATCCCCATTCCTTCCCCAACACAGACAGGTGTGGGGCTGTCCCCACACAGAACTGCAGTGGTATGACTACATGTCAGGAAGTGGAAAGCAAAAACGAGCAGGGAGATGGAGAATGGGTCCAAACAATTCATTGATTTAGGCGACAGGCATTCATTGAACACCTCCTAAGGGCCAGCCCACAGGCCTGTACAGGACCCAGGTCAAAGCACAGTGGGTGGGGTGGACAGGAGATCAGAACGGAGACAAGCTGACTGATGCTCAGGCATGAGAAAGTGAAGGCCCTGAAATCACAATGAAGAAATCAACACATTTGGTTTGCAAATACATGAACACGCACACCTCCCTACAGCAAACCGGTGTAGACAGGCAGAGCCCACCGAATGTCAGCTGACCCTGGCCCTTTGCTTCCTAAAGACAGCCCCCCAACTCGCCCAAAGTAGGGTCCTCCCAGTGCCGTGAGTGCTCTGCAACCTGGCCCCCAACTCCACCCTTCTCCATTCACTCTGTGCCAGTGACACTGGCCTCTGTGGGTGCCCAGGTCCCCAGGCACACTCCTTCCACAGGGCATTTGAATGTGCCATTCCCTGGGCAGGGATGTGTCCTCGCTGCCTTCAGGCCTCTTCTCAGTGGCCTCCCTCACAGCAAGGCCCATCCTCTCCACGCAGCAGAAACAAGCCCCAGCATCCCGACCCCAGTACGCTCTACACCCTTACTTAAATGCAGTCTTTCCCATTGTTCAGTGTCCTTTCTCCCACTGAAATGCAGGCTCCACAAGGGCAGGGGCTTGCTGATTGACTTCTCCCTTCCCAAAGTCCAGAATGGTGCCTGGCACTTAGTGCTTCAAGCAACTACAGACTCCAGTAACGTTGGTCCATGGATGGATTAGCTGACATGATGGTTGGAAAGCAGACATGGGCACATTCTTTAGGAGAATCTAAATGAGGGCCCAAGAAGAACGGTGGGAGAAAAACAGCCGCTGGCTCAGTGAGGACATCCAGCAGTGACTGGAATCTAGTTCTCACTCCAAAGACCTTGTGCTGTGGCTATTCGTTGCAAATAATGGACTTTCATAAAACTGTCTGCAAGTAGGGCAGATTTGGATGATTCAAAACCAGGTGTGGGACTTCCTGCAGCGTTGGCCTGACCCCACAGGGGAGTGAAGGACAGACTCCCGCAGTGGATCAGGAGCTGACGCACTCACACCGAAACGGCAGCCACAGCATCTGGTGATGGTTCACAAGAGTTCCCTGGAGGCTTTTAGCTCTATTTCCCATGAAAGAAACACACAAAGAAACACTTCCAAAGATGAAAGAATCTGGACCAACATCTAGGCAACCTGGACTTGGGAGACATTGCATTCAGGGATGCACACTGTGCCCCATGCTGGAAGCATGGTAGATTTGGACTGTATTCAGTACAGTGGCAAATTCTCCATGCTCTCCACAAGCATACACAACCATATTCAAACACTCACAGGATAACACACCCCCTACACTGCAACAAGGAATGTTTACACACTTGGCAATAGCTAAGAACCCCAGCCAGGTTCTGTAGGAGATGAAAGGTTGTCATGAGGTGAAATTGCCAGATGGTAAAGCCTTCCAGGATATTTCCTCACATTTTCTCTGTTAAAAACACCGTAAGATACCCTGACAAGGAGACTTTCCTGGTCCTCATGATGGAGAAAGAGCATTGAAGAGAGAAGAAAAGCTACACCGGTGATGACCACATGTACTGTGCTGTGTACATGGTGTGCGTTTTCACTGAATCCTCAAGACGGTCACAGACCCAGAGGAGCAGAGCCTGAGAAAGTTCCCCTTGGCCTAACGTTCTTCAACCATCATGGGAACATGGGTTCTGAAGCTAGGTCTTGCTGCTCAGGTTTAGCTCTACTCTTCGCTCTCACTAATACCCTGCCTGATGCCAGGCCTGGGCATGGGGTGCTATGCACTGCCAGTCCACAGGTGAGCCCTGCAGGTGTGAAGGGAGCACAGGAAGGTGGGGGACTGAGCTGTGGACAACACAAGGGAGAAAGCCTTGGAAGCTATTATCTGGGAGGTTGGCGATTATGGGGTGATAACTGGGCAACTGCAATATAAGGTAGAATAGGAACCCAGGAGAAGAGGACAGCTAAGGAGGGGGCACTTGGTGAAAATGCAGAAGCCCAGACTCCTTTCCCACAGGCCCATGCCTGGTTAGCTCTGACTCCAGCTGAATAGGAAGCACAGCAAGTTTGAGACTCTCTTGCATAAACCATAAGCCCCAGTGTCAGGTGCATGTGCTGTGAGGACACGAGATGTCAGTCTGCACAGGGCAGATAGAGAACAAGGTATGTTCGGCAAATAAGAGCTTTACCTCCCAGCCTTCCGCATGGGGTTTATACACGTCCCCTGGAAAGGAAGGAGAGAGCAGAAATCATGGCCATGAAGGGTGCAACTACTGTTTTCAGGAACAGACAACTCTGAATAAAGAAATGGCTTTGTGGCTGAAGAGGCTATGAGCAGGCTTCTTAACCAGCAGGAAGCTGGCCAACCTCATCGTGCGGATTATGCTATTTTGGGCTGACTTCATATGCCAAGATGCTATGTGCATGGCTCCATGACATTCATGTTGGAAATTACTGCTGAGAAGATGGTAAGAGGCCAAACCTCAGCAAAAACAGCCATAGGTGCCTCCAGTGAGGGGCAATGTCTTCCCTCCCCACAGCGTTCTGCTGCTGCGTGGGGCTGCATCCCAATAAAGACTATCGCTGTAGGCACCGCCGCGTGGCAACCTGGGCCACTCTTCCTTCTTCTTTTTTTTTTTTTTTTAATAGTATTGTGGTCAATTTCTTTTCTCCTCTTTTTTCCTTCTTTTGAGACAGGGTCTCACTATGTTGCCTCAAACCATAGTGAGATCACAGTGAGGATCAAGTGATCCTCTTGCCAGGAGTAGCTGGGACTACAGGTGCGTGCCACTGCACTCAGCTAAGATCATTTTTGAAATACAAGGTATGACAGTCAAGTCTGAGGAAATTCCTTTGACTAGATGGACATGCAGAGAAAACACTTCTAAATCCAGGAAAAGTTTACAAAGTCAGCTGGGGATTCGCCAATTGCCAAACCATGAGGCTGCATCGCTGGTTCTGGTTATGCTTCCAAGGTAAGCACCTCTGTAAGGACACTGAGAGGTGACCAGGGGATCATTTCCCCCAGAGACAGCCGCCCCACTGAGCCACCTTGACCAGGCACCCTCGAAGGAACAAGGTCGACATCTCCCAAAGACAGTTCTTTACCTTCTCTGGACAACTGACTGACCACGTTGGCCTGTATCTCAGAACCTTCTACAATTTAGATTTACACTGAACCAGTGAGGATAACAAACAGAACCCAGGATTCAGACAGACCCTCTAATGATTGTGGGCCTAAGGCTGAAGCCCACAAACCCGCACTCACCACTCATGGACGCTACTCCCAGGAAACTTTCCTGAACATCTTTCGTGTTAGCATCTTGTTTCATGTAAAAATAGAAGTAAAGTCTGAGATCAAGGGGGTAGTTTGAGTGAAAAAAACTGCAGTATTTTAATTTCAGTTGGATAACCACAGAATTTGCTATGCATCCTATAATTTGCCATTAAAAGGAGAATATGGGGCTGAATCACATTTTCTTTAAACGTTGTGTCCCTCGGTGCCCAAAAAGAGTGTTCATTTTAGAGTTAGACTGGGCAAAATAAACACTGGGTCACAGGTGATAGCTTTAGTTAGAAATGTCTTTAGGACAGGCCAGCATGCATGTTGTCAAACGACAATGTATGGCCCCTTCCCAGGGTCATGTGAGGCCAGTCACAGGGAAGCTGAATTATTCCCAATTGTCCCCACAGGCCTGGTGGCAGGAGGTGAGGGGGAAGGCACAATACTCACAGGAACTTTCCGTTTGTCTTTGATCCTATCAGGACAATTTGCTCAGACTCTTCTCGAGAGATTTTTCCATGGAACCAAGGCATTTTTTCATGGGCTGTGGTGGCGATCAGCTTCTCCAGCTGAGGCTTCTGGCTGATGATGGCCTGCTCCAGAGCCTGACCCTGCCACGTGGAGAGCAGAGCAGAGTGAACCACACCGAGGAAAAATGAAAATGATGCAGAAGGCATTTCCAGTCTGTCTCGAGTCCTGGCATGGTAAAACAGGATCAAACCTTATTCACTCATTCATGCAGTAAATAAAACCAGAAAGATCTTTACACATTACTTAAGTACTTTCAAGTGTATAAATAAAAAGAATATGGCTGGGCACAGTGGTTCACACTTGTAATGCCAGCATTTTGGGAGGCCAAGGTGGGTGGATCACTTGAGGTCAGGAGTTCGAGAGCAGCCTGGCCAGCATGGTGAAACTCCATCTCTACTAAAAATACAAAAATTAGCCAGGTGTGGTGGCACGTGCCTGTAATCCCAGCTACTTGAGAGGCTGAGGCAGGAGAATCGCTTGAACCTGGGAGGCAGAGGTTGCATTGAGCTGAGATCATGCCACTGCACTCCAGCCTGGGTGACAGAGCAAGACTCTGTCTCAAAAAATAAAAAATAAAATAAAATAAAACATACATATCCTTTGCTGTGGCAATCCCAACCCTTTCAAAGTTTATCCTGCAGACATTGCATATGAGCATAGTATACGATAGGTCTAAAGCAATGTTGTTAGCAGCGTTTATTCATAAACAGCAAATGTGTTCATCAATAGGTACTAATTAAATAAATTACGGTGCATAGCAGGTGACACCAGATAGCCAAAGAACAGGTGATGCAGCTTCATGAGTGTTGACACAGAAAGTTCTGCAAGAGATATTAGGAAGCCATAAAATCAAGTGCCTATCAGTGTGTCTAGTAGGACCTTGTCAGATAAATAGAAACCAGTCAACACCTATCAATGCCTCTCTGAAAAGGCCCTCCATGCACTGGGTAACGGTGGTTCCCTGTGGTGGAGAAACCCACATTGCTGGCACAAAGGGGCCCACCCTCTCAGCTGTGGCTGTGAAAGGGGAAAGACTCGTATTAGAGAGAGGCACTTTTTGGTCAAAGTTGATGCTTCAGGAGGTGGTTGTGTTATTTGGGCACACCGGGTACATAGGCATAGGTGTTGCATGTAGCCAGGAAGTCTGTGTGGGGTCACAGGGCCCCCTGGGTCCAGGGAGCAGGACCAGCTGTGGCGCACCTGCAGGTTCCATGTCTGCTTCACATATTCCCTGATGAGGTTTTCCTTCAAGTCCTCAAAGGGCCCAGTCTTGGGCTGCACCCCCTGGGGCCGGTTGAAGGGCTTCTTCAGGAGGCAGACCAGGCCATCAGACTCCTGCGAGTGGTAGTGGCAGAGGTCGGCGGGGCTGGCGTGGGTCCTGCCGCCGGCGATGGCGTAGGTGCCGTTCAGCTCCCGCTCGATGGTGTAGTGGTGTGCCTTCCTCCCGTGCGCCACGGACAGGGCGAAGCCGCCCAGGTAGTTGCGGCTCTGGCGCAGCAAATAGAGCCCATCGCTCATGCCCCCCTGGACCAGGTAATCTTCTGCCTCCTCCCGGGTGATGTTGCCGAAAAAGAAGGGCAGGTGGTTGGCGTTGTCAGCCATGCCGCTGCTCGCCATGCTTCAGAGGCCGGAGGGCACACGCCTACGCAGGTGTCCCCCTGGGCAAGACAGAGACAGAGAACTTTGGTGAGGAACCCACGTGGCAGGGAACATTTGCTAAAACCACCCAAACTCTTTCAAAGCGGAGACAAACCCTTCCAGCTCTGAACAGACACTTCCCTCTTTGGCCCTCCCAACACACAGTTGTCTTTCTGTTCACATCATTACAGTTTCCAGCATGCCTTCTAACTAAGCTAAAATCAGAGTATTTGATGGAAGTGACCAAATTAAATAATTATTTTTTTGTCGGCGGGGTGGGGAAGGACAAAGAATTCTAAAAATAAACATGCCACAAAGAGAAGCAAACAGAAGGGCTATTGCAAAACAGGACTCTCGGGCTGACCCTAAGGGTCCCAGCGCACACAGGAGGCAGAGTCTACATGAGCACAAACCACCTGCTCCTGCTGAGTCCAGACAACGTTAGAGAAGTCCCGCTCCTCATCACAGCGTCCAAGGAGGACGCTACCACCGCCTCACCCACCTGGGCTGCCAGACCCTGCCTGGAGCCGTCAGTCACACGCTGCTGCTGAGCCCCAGAGGTGAAGTGAGGCCACGTTGAGGGCCCACACGGAACTGTGACTTGCGGTCACCACAAGGCCTTCCCACCTTCAGCCCAGGGCTATGACAGCAACAAGCCACTGCCTGAGACATGAAGAGTGACACCCTCCCAGCTCCCGAGGCCTGGGGCCCATAGGCTGTCCTCTCCCCACTTCTCCAGACCACTTCCTGGGCAACTCCACTTCCCATCTGCAGGGCTCGTGTTAAAGAGATAGTGCCTGTTCCCAGGCCACGAGGACATCTGACATAGGAGAGACACTGCTTGCAGTAAATAAATACATTTCAGAAGCAAAAAGGAAGGCGGCCAATGCATATTTAACATGGAGAGTATTTCCTCTCAATCATAGTTGTAAATGAGAAGGATACATATTGCCAGCCCCAAAAGTATCCAACAAGGCACATTTTAACCAAAAGGGGCTCGTCATGAATGGAAAATTATCTAGATGACTCCATCCATTCATCCAGGGAACAAAGTGCATGCCCCTCATGGTCCGCACACACACCCCACCCCCCCCATACCACATGCATACCACATGCACGCCACACACACTACGAACACATACCACACCTGCACTACACACACACCATGCCCTACACGCACACTATACGCATCACACACACCAAACACACAAACTGCACACACACCACACACACAAAACACACTACACACATCACACACTACACTACATACACACTACACACACAAAGCATACACAAAACACACACCACTACATGCACAATACACATATCACATACACTACACACATCACACACTGCACACACAACACACACAAATTACATACACACCACACACAACACACACAAACTACATGCACACCACACACACAATATACACAACACATGCTACACTACACACTACACATACAAAACACACACAAAACACACCACACAACTACATGCACACTACACGTCACACACACCACACACACACAAACTACATACACACTACACACACAAAGCACACACTGCACACATACCACACACAAACTACATACACACTACACACTACACACTACACACATCACACATACTACACACATATCACAAACTACATACACATCACACACACCATAATATACACAACACATGCTACACTACACACTACACATACAAAACACACACAAAACACACAACTATATGCACACTACACATGTCACACACACCACACACACACAAACTACATACACACTACACACACAAAGCACACACTGCACACATACCACACACAAACTACATACACACTACACACGCAACACATTACACATATCTCACACACACTGCACACACGCCACACACAAACTACACACACACTACACACACATTTCACAGGTAACACACTACACACACCACACACACACCACATACAAACTACATACATACTACACACAAAACACTACATGCAACACACAAAACAGTACATACACACTACACACAGAAAACACACACAAACCACACCACACCACTACATGCACACTATACACATCACACACACTGCACACACACCACACACAAACTACATGCATGCCACACACACACCATAGTACACACTACACACACAAAACACACACGTGAAGCACACCACACCACAGACCCCGCACCACGATGATGTGAAGTGGCTTCTTCTCAACATGCACTATCCTACGAGGGGCTACAACAGGTAAGAGCGTCAGCCTGACACAGGCAACAGAGTTCTCCCCAGATGGTGTCCTCAAGTCAGTACTCCTGGGCGAGCCCCTAATGAGGCATGGGTTTTATTATAATATGAGGGTATTCATCATCATTTCCTGGCTTGCCTCTCACAGCAGTTGACTATCAGTGACTTTTCTTTGCCCAGCAAGTTTCTAAAATTTCATCTCTTAGCAAGGTGTTTTTGTTTTTTAAAGTATATCTACATTACTTTGGAGTCTAAGAAGGCTGTTAACAGAAAGACGCCTCTGGAAACACAGTGTGCCGATGAGTCTCTTGGAAGAAATACTTCTCTTTCGACTGCTTTCCCCTTTCTACAATGCTTTGGTTGAAGGTCAGTCACTGCCCCCAGCCTGCCTTTCTCGCGCTCCTCCCTTTTCCTGCAGTGGGTCTTCTCAGGCCTCCAACCCCATATCCATTGTTTCCCCTGCAGCCCAGCAGGTCTCACACTTCCACGTGGCCTGGGGGCTCTGATACACCCAGGGACTGGGACGCTGCTGTTCCTGCAATCCTGATGATGCGGATGCCAGGTTCTGACACCATCTGAGACCAGGCTCTCCATTTTCTCTGCCTTCCCTGCCCAGGCAGTGCCCCAGCCAGGAACCCAGGAGTCCTCCGCAGGCCTTGCATTCTCTAAGGTTCATTTTCCAAGCGCCCCTGGTGCATGCTCCTTACTGCCTGTATCCATGACCCCTGCCTGGCTTAACCCTGTCCTTTCCACTGCTGCCCTTCACCCCTCACCTTCTGCCCTCCAGCTTCCTGATGCCTCCCTCTCCAGCTGTCTGGTCCTCCCTCAAAGCACACAACAGCCCTCCCTGCCTCTTCCAACATGCCCAGTCCACAGACCACACTGGACAGCACTGGGATGCTGTGGCTTCCCCTTCTTGTCCTCACCACATGTGCTTTCTGCTGACGCACACAGCTCTTCCTCCTGGCCATCTAGGTCATCCTTGCAGACCCAGCTCAAATACCCCTGTTGCTGTGTACCTGGCCCTGATGCTTGTGTCCCCTCTGCGGGGCCCAGGTTACTTTTTATGTAGTTGCAGAACAGCAGACTGCACCATCAGCTCCAACTGAGACAGTAATTTTGTAAGAACAAAATTGTAAATAAAATGTGAGCAAATACTTTTTAACTTATATAAATCTTAACATAGCTACTATTTTTAAAATTCATTGGCTTGTCACTAATCATTACATGGGTGCTGGCACTTTGGCATGAATCCCATATAGAAGTGAATGGAAAGGAAGTGAGACAGGCTGTGGCCAGGTCTCGGGGAGCATCTGCAGACCCGGAGCAACCTCCAGGCACATGCCAGGGACACTGTGTGGCTCTGATGGTGCATTGCAGGTACATTCCCAAGCAGGCGGCAGAAGAATGTGTTACACTGTGTCAGCACCGATGTGGCTGATGGCCCTTTTCTGGCCATGTGACTTCCTGTGCTGGAGTTGACCTGGGCGTGTTGGTGGTGATGGTTTGGGCAGAATCACTGGTTCACTGCAAGGACAGCTTATGGCACATTTTTGGGCTATTTAATTGGGGGAATAAACAGTGTCCATGGTGTTCCTGTGCCTATCTTCTCAGGACTGACACCCGCCGGCACCCACCCGGGGCCTTGTCCTGGTCTCCAACCTCCTCTTTCTCAGGTCACCTTGGCAGGAGTTGGCCATCTCCATTCCAGCCACTGCCCACAGTGGCCCAGGCTGCTGTTCTCAGCTCCACTTTTCAGATATCAGCTCTCAGTCAGTATGGCAAATCCAGAGAGTCTCACTTTTCACCCAGCCGTAGTCTTGTCCACAGCTGTGGCATCTCTGCCACTCCCACCAACTGAGACAGGGACAGAGCCTGCGACTTCCCCTTGTATGCATTCCTCCTGCACACACAGACTCAGCCCTTCCCGCCTGATGCTTCTGCCAACTCACAATGCTTAACTCTGACTGCAGGAACAGCCCACCGCTCAAATTCTCTTTAGCATTTCCAGGGATCATCTTCTTCTCAATAGTGTTTAGAACTTGCTCCCCAGTTTTTCTTAATTCAACATTCCCAGTTATTTTTTTTCCACATGTGAAACTACTTCATTCCAAAGCACAAAACTGCGAAACAAACCAGGCCCTTTGGCTCCTCCTTAACTCCACCTGTACCCCTCAGCCTGCTGGGTCTGGCACGTCAATGCACACCTGGGCAGGTAGCGGTTCAGCAAGGAGGGTTTTCAGGTGTCAGGTGAGCTGAAAACACTGCAAATCCCTTGCTCTTTTAAGACCTTTTTTTGTGACACAAGTTAAATGTGCACTTAGTAGTAGAAAGGTGTTTTTTGACATGAAATAATCTTTTGTAATGTCCTGGGCCGCATACCTCCCTTCCCTGCCTAATTTTTCTCTGCAGCATATCTCCATAAGGCAGCAGTCCTCTAAATCATGATTCACTGTTGAGTTTGAGTATTGTCTTATTCTTCCCACCAGACGGCCAGCTCTGGAGGCGAGAATAGGATGACCTTGTTCACTGCCATATCACCATGCCTGGAACAGCTCCCGGTGCAGGAGAACTCATCAAAAATATTTGTTGGTTAACAGGTATTTGTTGCTCTTCACTGAGCTCCTGATCTGCATATCTGCTTATCTGACATCCCCCCTTGGATGTGTAGCAGACAAGTTGACCTCCACATACTCCAGATGAGGCTTTTGACTCCTCATGTCACTCCCTCAGCAAACCTATTCCTTCCTCAGTCTCTCCTAATTGAGGAAGTGA